AATATTCCATTTTCTTGAGTTAAGAGGAAGATGTTGGGAATGCTCCCTTTCCCATGTATTCACACAATTAAATCAGCTTTAAAGAAGTCACACTTTGCCTACAATGTCATCATGAATCCAATCACTTCAAATAGTAGATTTTATTAACATCCAAAAGGTGAAAATGATCTGGAGAGAAACCACTTCCATCTGGGTCCAGGAAGTCTCCCTGTTAGAAAGCTACACCTTAAGATAAGGTTACCTGTCCAGTCTTAAACACCTGGGTTCACAACATTTCCATAAGTATTCTGCATTTTTACTGAAAAATGACATTATAAACTCTTACTATTCATTCCAGTTAAAAACAGCACAACAGCTGAACAATATGCCAGAACGAACTTTCTCTCTGCCCATCTGTAAAACTTAAAGATCTCTTTTCCCTTTGATTCTTGTAGGTCTCCACAGACATCCTGAAAGCTTCTTCCCAGTCTCCCTCTATAGTCCTGTCCTTTCCACAGCAGTCCCATATCAAGCACTCCCTCCTTTCCTTTTTCTCACTTCCCTTTATTATAATAGGTTTTTTCTTTTTGCACAATCATTGATCTTCTGCCTGTCTACAAACATCCAATTCTTTCACCCTCTCCCACAGGCACACACCTTCTTTCCCTCCCCCACCACAATGTGGGTAAAATGTGTGTAAATGTACATGCAAGAGGAAATACATGCACAGGTGCACGGAAGAATCCCAGAGGTGGCTTCTTTCCAGCTCTGGACATGGATAAAATCTCAGGATTCAGAGTAGTTCCAACAGACAAAACTTACTGTAATCCACATTATAATATGTGTAATAAACTCCAAAAAGGATGAAGCTAGTCCTAAAAATCAGATACTTAAAAAAAATCGCAGCTCTAAGATAAAATTCACCTCCTCCTTGAATTCTCCTTGAAGCCCTTAGTCATAATCCTCAAAATGAACAACGGCATATACTTAACTTTGCCTCTGCTGCTGCACCACAGAATATATTTAGATTGTAAGCTCTTCAGGGCAGGGGCCTGGCTTTTGATCATGTCACCCACCGTGTATGTTGATTCATGGCACTGTGTGACCTTTCCGGGGATTCTCCAATGCCATGAACTGATTATTCAAGAGTACTGTGCACTATTTCCAAAAAATCGGCTCTGAAGGCTGCTTAGTCCCATGGCCTCGGACCCCTGCAATGCTACCCTGGCATTTAACTTGGTCTTCCCTCTCAGCAACACAGAGACCAGCCCTAATTATTTGCTTTTGCTTATCAGTAATCTGAAATATTTGTCAAGGTCTGAGTGTAAGTGAATAAGAGCCAAGAAAGTGAGTATCTTTTGTTTTGCAAAACACCAATGAGCAAAAGAAACTCTGTCACTTCTCCATTTTGCAAGTTTTTAAAAAAAGCTTCCCAGAGCTCAGGCCAGAATTTCATTAATTTCAACTTTTTGTGTGCGCTTTCTAAGGAAAAGCTGCCTCAACAATCCACTTTCGCATCTCCCTTCGCCATGCCTCTGCCACCGTGATTTAGAGATACAGACTTTTCAGAGGGCCCGGAGATGGAAAAAGCTTCCTGTGTTTACTAAAATTCTTTAACTCTGACTACTAAGCTTCACCAACAGTACTATAATCTGGTTCAAGCAGCAAATGGAAGCACTTTGACCCATGATCGTCTAATCTCCAAAGCAAAAATAGGTGGAGTACAGAACTGTGGGGAGGGGAAAGAAGCTGCTGCACAGCTTGCTGCATTATCACACCACCCTGAGCAAGCTTGAGCGAGTCCAGTTCTCTCTAATACGGTATGACACATGGCACCATTCCCAATGTTACTCCCAGAAGAGGAAGAGTGGATGCTGAACAGCCCCTGAAGAGGCTGGACTTAGTGATTTTTACAGCATAACCTTTCCAAAGCAATGGCCTTCAGATGTTTGGAGTAGAACTCTTAACAGAGGAGGCAATTTTGGGAATATTAGTAAAAGAATTAAGAGACTACTGGAGCAATTCTTCACAAATTTAGGAAGGGAAAAAGGCCTGCAATTCCCAGCATTCCTCAGCCAGTCAGAGGCCTTTTTTCCTGTTTAAACATGCATGGTTGGCACCCCAAGTAAGAATCCAGAATTTCTTAAATAAGTAAGTAATAAGTAATAAGTAAGTAATAAGTAAGAATGAGGATTTGGTTTACACATTGTCATAAAATAAAGATTTGCCATCTCCTCAGAACCACTTTTGTTTTTATGCAGAAAAGGAGGAGTCTTTTAATTATGAACACTTGGCATACGGTCTGAGAAAATCCACGCAGCCGGCTGAGAGATTCCAGAGCAACCAGGGTGCCTGTCACTGCTATTGGATCCTGATTTCCCATCAAGAATAGGAGCTCTTGAGAAGAACGACAACTAAAATTATTACAAAATCAACTTGAACAGAGGGAAGACTGACTAGCCTCAAGCAAACTGCTTTCACTGCTAAGCTGATGCTACCAGTCCATCCTAATGCCCTCCAGATTTGTTGTACCCCAGCTCCCAGAATCCTCCAGACAATGCTGCAAGGCACTAGGTTAGGAGAGGCTGGACTAGCCCATAACCACCAACAGAAGTAAAACCAAATGCCACGAAGCTATTTTGCTATGCACCGCTTGAAAGACAGTAGTTACAAGCAAGCGTTACATGAAGGCTAATCCATGCACCCACCAGTTACCAGCACCACTTCTTCCAAAGTGTGGAAATGCAACAGCTTTCCTTTCATAAGACGTCTGAGGACAGAGGCCCAAGAAATGTGTAATTATCCTTAGTGGGATGGTGTTTTCTTGAACACCTCCTCAACCTTAGAAAATGCACAAGCAAATCATCACTAAAAGGATCACACGGTCCTCTCAGGAAAGAACTTCGTATGTACTTACCGTCTTTACCAATTCACACATTATTTTTAGCTGATCAAATACTGCAGTCAAGGTACACACTGCCCCATGGCCTGGAGTTAGAGCCATGTGTCAACACTGACTCTGCAGGCATTCTTTAGGTACGTGCCATTCACTGAGCACTGCCCCCCACCTGCCCGCCGACCCTCATCCTGCAACCAGTGCAGATATAGGAATACTGAGCGTATTCTTGGTTGCAGAATTCATGGCAGTGCACAGCATGCCACTTTTACAGTACACAGCTCCATATACAATGTTGTTGATCTACAACAGGCAGATGAAGAGGAAATTGCTGCAAATCATAAATGTCTAAGAGGGAGCTTTCCTTCACTGCTAAAATCAGTTGGCCTTCTCCAACCTGGGGCCCTCCTGTCAACATGGCCACTGATAATACTGACCAGGGATAATGGGAGTTGCATTCCAACACAACGTAAGGGCCACAAGTTGGAGAAGGCTGAATTAGGCTGTAAGCATCTGTCATAATCTCATCTGCAAGTGTCATATGCAGGTGAGGGTGGGAGACTTCTGAATATTGCCCCATGAGAGCTTAGAGGAAAATCCCAAGAAAATTAGAAGCCAGGCTGCACAGGGCTCCCTGCTCAGAATCGCTGAGCATCAAACATCACAAGTTTTTAAAAAATTAAAGGGACAGGCTGCTTCCAATCTGACAACTCCTAATAAAAGCTTAGGCTTTGGGGCAGTACAGAAATGAAATTATTATTAGTGTTAATAAAACTATTAACATGTTAATCAAGACATGCTAATCAATTCTAACTTTCTGTCTTCAATGGATTTTTTGGTGATAGAATAGTTCGAAGAGACGTGAGGGTTACAAACGGAACGGAGCACATAGCAATTGCTCAACAAGTACAGTCTCCGTAACATTCTTGGGTCAATAACTGCCTTGGGTGGTTCCATTTTGAGTCACTGTGGTGGCAGCGGCCTGGCTGATACAATTCCAAGGGCATCTTTGATCGCAGAATGACTTTTTCTGCAAGAAAAAGATAGCAGGAGACGGAACAGCTGCTAGTCAGGGCATCAGTGCTGTTTCTGTATGGGCATTGCCAAAGTTCTCACCTTTTCCAAAAGATTTGCTGCATACTACTGTAAACTTTGCTAATTTAAGAAGCAGAGCTATGCAATGTATTGGTCTCAGGCGACAACGCAAAGCACATACTTACTTGGACATTCCACCAAATTGAGTGGGACACGATCCAAGAGAAGTATATTTAGGACTGCAAGGGCTAGGTTTCCTTGGTGGCTCTATTAGCAGCCACTGCTTCCAGAAAGTCAGTGCCATTCGAGGGAAAGCGCACAGCTTCTTTTGAAGAACTACAAGTCCCTAAAACATTTCTAGCGAGACATTAAAGATCCCAGTAAATGTATTAATGAAGCAGTTTATCAAATGAAATCTGATAATAAACCATGATGAATAGTGAATATAGAGCACCTATTTGTAACACAAAAGCAAAGGGGGAAAATATTAGAGCAATGGAAGTGTGCAAAATATATTACTGGAGTAGCTCTTACTTCCTCCACTCCGCACTCAATGAAGTTCTTTTCTACGATGTGCAAAGAGTGAATGAAGCCTACTTTTAAATACAATAGAAGGACCACTTCATTTAGTGCTGTACTGAATGTTAAAAAGGATGGTTTAACCTGGATTCCTGCACTGGACAGGGGTTTGGACCCAATGGCCTTCTTGACCCCTTCCAAATCTACCCTTTTATGATTCTGTGACAATGAAGTAAAATGGTAGTGGTAGCAGGAGAGAAACACATTAAAACAAATGAGAAAATTAATCTCTTTAAGCGTCTATGTTTATTGTATTATATAAACTATTCTCTACATTTCCTCTCTGAATATAAGTGCAGTGATGCTGTGCTTTTACAACTCTCACAGTCAACAACGGCACTCAGAGAACGTCAATCCCAGTCCAACCACCACTAGAAACACTCCAGGAACACTGGTTCAGAAGCAACAATGGACCAAAGCTCAGCATCCCAGGAAGAAGAGGGCATGACCTGCAGCTACGGCCACAGCTAAGTGACAAAGCATCTACCGGCATGTAGAAAATCAAACCTACAGGCGCAGCTGGAGAAAATCATTCCCACTCACAGCCTCTGAAGCCCTGGAGACTCGCTGCAAGTCAGCGTAGATCAGGAACCGGCAACCTATGTCCTCCAGATGTTTTGGACTGGCCACGTAGGTGGGGGCTTGTGGGAACCGCAGCGCATCCTCTTGCGCTTTCCCCCACGCCTCCTTTGCATATGCAACGAGATGAAAAGTGCCACCTTTAGAACTACAGTTTCCTTGTTGAGAGACCACAGGAGACTGAGAATAGTTCTATGGTGGATGCTTTCAATTTTCCCCCACCCCCAGATACAGAGGATGGGGCACAGGGTTCCCACAGGCTTGTACCAGCACGCTCGACTTTAGCATTACACCCCAACCAAGCCTTTGTTTTCTTGCACCCATAGCCAGCATGTCCCGAAAGCCTTCCAGATGAGCTCACACCATGGCTTACACCAACATAGCCCCCATAAGCCCAGCAACTTTTCAACTGTAAGCAAGGAAAGGGCCTTCTTAGCAAACCTACCCAGCTGACCTGAACAGCAGGGAGTCAGGAGGAGGTATGCCAAGGGAACCCTAGGTAATTTAGCTAAGACCTCATCTCAGACCAATTTTTTTAGGAAAGTAAATGGTCTTGCTTTGCTCCAAAGAGTCCTAATGGCCTCAAACACACTCCCATCATGGTAAGCCTAGATTTAGGTCTGGGGAGAGGAAAAAATGCACAAGTTTTCTGAGCAGAGATATACACATGCCAAATACTTGAAGCCTAGCATTTTTCAGTTAGGATACGAAGATTTCCCATTCTCCCTTCACACTCCAATTCTATGTACTCCATTCTAAACAGAGGTAAACCCCACAGACTTACTTCCGATTAAGATAATTCCAGGCAGGTTTAGACAGAAGACTCCCAGCATTCCTCAGCCAGCCATGCTGACCCGGGGATGTTGGGAGCAGTAGTGCCTCTTCCCTTTGAACTGGCTTAGGATGGCAAGTCAGTCCCCTCTCCCAAGGACCCCAACCCCACCCCACAGCACCTAGCTGACACAGAGCCCATGTAGCCTCCATCACATGCGACACAGCCTGTGCGTGTCTACTCAGAAGTCAACCGCATCAACGCGACTCAACGGGACTTGTTCCCAGACGTGCGCTGGGTCGCAGCCTTCAACTGGACAATCTGGACTGCAGCCGGATCTGGATCAACGGGACCACCCCTGCCTTGCACGCCGCTGGCATTCACGTCTCCCACGGAGGCGGGGTCCCCGAGCCCCTTCGGCACCGGCGAGGGGCGGTGGGGCAGCGCCCGGCCCGGTTTCCAGAGGCTGCGGGCCGGGCGCCGTCTCCGAGGGGCCGTCGCGGCCGGGCAGGGGCGGCTCCCCCGGGAGAAGGGCGGGCGCGAGGGAGGGTCGGCTGCCCCAGGCCCGGGAGCGGCGGGGCGGGAAGGGCCCTCCGGAGGATCCGTCCCGCCCCCCGCCCGGCCGAGGCGGCCCCGCGCCCGCCCGGCCGCCCCGGCGGCGCGTGGCCGAGACCGCCGCGCCACCTCGGGCCTGGCCTA